TGCTTGCACAGACAAGGCCTTCATGGAAGAGTCAGCAGAAGAAAACCTTATCTGCGTCCCCATCATAAAATCCAACGTCTGAAGTATGCAACAGGACATCTACAGAAGCCCGATGCGTTTTGGAAACAAGTGCTGTGGACTGATGAAGTTAAAATAGAACTCTTTGGACACAATCAGCAAAGGCATGTTTGGAGAAAAAAAGGAGCAGCATTTCATGAAAAGAACACCTTGCCAACTATTAAGCATGGGGGTGGATCTATCATGCTCTGGGGTTGTGTTGCAGCCAGTGGCACAGGAAACATTGCACGGGTGGAGGGAAGAATGGATTCCACTAAATACCAGCAAATTCTGGAAGCAAACATCACACCATCTGTAAAAAAGCTGAAGCTGAAAAGAGGATGGCTTCTACAACAGGACAATGATCCTAAACATACCTCGAAATCCACTATGGAATACCTCAAGAGACGCAGGCTGAAGGTTTTGGAATGGCCATCACAGTCCCCTGATTTAAACATCATTGAAAATTTGTGGGTAGATCTTAAAAGAGCTGTGCATGCAAGACGACCAAAGAATATTACAGAACTAGAAGCCTTTTGCAAGGAAGAATGGGAGAAGATCCCAAGTACAAGAATTGAAAGACTTTTAGCTGGCTATGAAAAGCGTTTGCAAGCTGTGATATCTGCCAGAGGAGGTGTTACTAAGTACTGATTGTGTAGGGTGCCCAAACTTTTGCACCATGCCATAATAATGTTTTTATTTTTTATTTTTGTTCAATTTATGGCATAAGAAGTAACTATGCATCACTGTTTGCTGAAAATATTGTGCATTTTTTCCATTTCCAAGAGAAACTGTGTTAACATCTGTTCAAATAAAAAATCACCAAAATCTGTTATTTATCAAGGGGTGCCTAAACTTTTGCATGAGACTGTAATGTTTGTGATTGCACACTAGCAAGAATAGTTTAACCATCCATGTTGTAATTCCTCATATCTTTGTACAAGTGATCAGTTGAGGTGAACATGGTTTTTAGTTCAACATGTTGACCAACTTTTAATGTTCTAGTATGTGATTAAACAGAACTTTTTCCCAGTACCCTGCGGACTGTGACTCTGTCTGATGGGAGACGCATCAAATGAAATCAGTAGTGGCCATGGTGTACCTTTTGTGCATTGTGGGCCAGACTTCTTGGTTGTAGCTCATAATTCTTATTCTTGTATATAATTGGCAAATAATACACAATGTAGTGTCCTATTTAAATATGACAGTTGCAGCACATGGTTAACCAGTAGAGTCATATCCACCAGTCTCATGGAGTTGGTCCTACAAAAACATGTTGGTACATCAATTAGTCATGGCAACTCACACAGGGGGCCTGAGGGTGGGAGAGTGTGTGTGTGTGTGTGTGTTTGCTTATGCTTCTGCTTGTTTGTTTTCTGGTGTATGCATGTCGAGCCTTGGCCCACATTTAACACGCATGTGGTTGCATATGTTCATGTACAGATAAAACGACTGGAAAACGCTCAGAGTAAGAGGCTGTTTACTGACTTGAAAATTAATTGCACCGGCCTGTGTGCTATCTTGGACCTGACAGTCACCGTTGAGCCGCTTGTATTTTAATTACTGCCACAATAACATGTACTATAGGTGGAAGCACCACATTCATGTTATGTTGAACTTGTTCAGCAATAAACTGTCAGAACGTTGAGAGTAGCCATGGTGGCTTTCAGCCCAAAATCTTTCAAAAAAGCATGGAATCCTACAATGTTTTCAGCTCTCTCTTTCTCTTTCTGTGTGTGTGTGTGTGTGTGTGTGTGTGGATCAGACCAGATTATCATAAACTATATAATCTTTTTCACTTGTAAATAGTTTTTGTGATATGTAATTTGTTCTATACACCAAATCCTTTAGCACCCACCTCACAATAACCCACACATGCACACACAGTCCCGTTTACTCAGACACCAGCGCATGCATGCAAGGAGCATGTTATTCTTCATGTGCATTAACATGCATACCTCCACATAAGTATAGTGTCATGCAGTGGCGTGTAGTAAAGAATTCACATTCACACACCAAACATTTAATCTGTCTAAGCCATTTGCCTAATCATCTCACTCTCTCAGCACAATACCATTCACAGATCTACAGCAGCCACACACACGCCAAACTGTCCAAACACTGGCTGCTCTGCTGGACTAGTAACAGCTTTACCATGCCCCCCATGTTACAACCTGTTGTCGCCATGTTGCATCACTTCACACATCTTTGGAGAGGAAGAGGAAGAGTGCAGAAGAGGGTGAGAGGGAACTGTGCAGTCTCTAGAGTGATCACATGACTTCAGTGTTCATTTGCTTCATTTTTATTTTTTATTTATCTAACGAGTCTTTCTATCATTGTAGTTTAGATCTGCTTTCAAAGCTTTGTCACATGGGGTAAAGCTGCTCACTCACTCACAGTCTCTCTTAATAGGTTCAGTCTTTCTCTTTCTCTTTCTCTTTCTCTCCCCAGTTTTCTTACTTCCTTTTACCCAGTTTTTGTTTTTCTCTTGTATTTTGTAACCTAATTTTTGCCTTTTTTTTTTTTTTTTTTGTTATTACTGAAAACAGCACACACTGTGTGTGTGTGTGTGTGTGGGTGTTTTGTTTGTGGACTGGGTTGAGATGGAGGTTGTGTTAGACTTTATTTCAGGAGCTATCTGGAGCGCTCAAGGAGGAGAGATGAGACGGAGACAGAGCTGATGCAACTGGAAGACACAGGCACATACTGTACACAGGTTCATGAACACACATGGACGCACACAAATTCATGGTGGAGGTAAACAGAAAACAATGAAACATACTGGCATGTACAAATAAACAGACAAAACAGTCAAGGTGGTGTAGAGCTGAAATAATTAATCAAATAAGTTGATCAGCAACTGTTTTGATAAAGTCACTTTTGAAGGAATTCAGTGGTTTCAGCCTCACAAATAAGAAGATCTGTTTTTCTTTGTCTCCTGTAATGTAAACTGAATATCTTTGGGCTTGGGAATGTTGCACTAGTGGAGGAACTATTCAGATTTTTTTGCTTCAGTGAAAGCACATGTAAAACACCACACCGTAAAAATTTGATAACATTTGTTAACATTTTTTTTAATAATTTTTAATAAAAGTACAGAAAATACTTCAAGTATCAAAGGTAACAGTACTTATTATGCAGAACTGATGTCTGATGGCAGCACTCAGTACTGAAAATGAACTAGCGTTGCAGGAAGCATCTAAGGAAAGCCAAACAAGCTCGATAGATTATGAAGGTTCATTTAAGGGCTTTTCATTGAACTGCAAATACAGGTTGCATGCATACAGTAAATTTGCTATACTCTGCTTTACAGCTCAGCGATGATTCATCAGACCGTTGTCACAAGCATTGAAATCTCAACTGAGTGTTTCATGCTTCTCAGAAAATCCCTGACAGCCGTTGCCTTAAGGCATTAAGCATGTATGCCTGCAAATGTGATCTGTCCCATTATGTAAGCAAGTAAACAGAAACCTCTGACTGTTTATGTGACATCCAGTGGTTGTTTCCAAACACGCTGTGGAGCACTGAAGAGAAATCAAAGCTTAATAACGTGAAACTGACTTCAGTCACTACAACTGGCTGCAGTTCCAAATACTAAGATGTTAGCAGCTTTGTAGATGGTAGCAGGCTGGCACAGTGCTTCAGGAGAAGTTTCCCTATATGGAAGATTACATGAGGCAGCAGTCTCTTGTTTTATTTTTCATGGCCACTTTGGGTTTTGGAGTGTTGTCCAGCATCGCTATGTTACAACATTTTGGTGAAGTTTGTTGTTGTTTGTTTAAACAGATCACTGAACACCTGTCATTGATTGGATTTTATCAAGCATGATGGAATCTGCTGTCGCACTGAGACTGGAGGAAAAAAAATGAATTGGGACATCCTCAATGTGAACTTCCTTAATGAATTATTGCAGCCTTGCAATAGATTCCCAACCTGTACAAAAGTAATGCCCCCAAAGTGTTGAGGCTACCATCTATATGCATCTGGTGCCATGAAAAAGAGGGCACAAGACTTTGCTTTTAAGACTGATGTTTCTCCTGTGGGTGTGATGGCTTAGACCCTTTAAAAGCAAAGGATTAGGATGATACTGGTGCTTAGTGTCTTGGCCTGAGTGACTGTGTGTCTTGCTGCCGCTGCCTGTATGTCAGCTTTACTCTGGGTGGGGATGGCCTTTGGAGCCAAATTTGCATGCTGCATCTGGCTGATGTGAACAAAGATTTCATCGTAGAGAGAGAGTGACAGAGAGAGAGGGAGGGATAGTGGTTGCATGTGCAGTGAAGTTAACTGGAGCAGGGTGTTCAGGATGTGAACATGCCTGATGGCCTGGCTGCAGCCTTGTGATACAAAACATTCAGTTTGCGTGTCTGCACACACACTGGCAGCTGTTACACTGTGTGCCTGTGTGGAAATGATGCACCAGTGACTCAGCTTTAGCTGTCAAGTGTTTTGTATATGTGTGTTTATGTGCGCACATTTTAACGTGAGCAAGTATGACTGTGACTTGGATGAGAAGCAGGACTAGACAGCTAGCCATCATATGACTTATTGCTCATCAACTTTACATGAGACCCACAAATGCAAACACTGATAGAAAAGCAGGCATGCAAGGTCTTTGAATTGTTTGTAACATTAGATCAAACAATATCTGGATGTTTCATTGACCAACGTCTGTGTTCCTGTGAGTCAGTGTAATTTAATGTTTTCTGTTAATAGCTGAAATGCATACAAGTTAAAATAGAAGTTTTAATATTTGTTTTTGTGCATCTGATAAAATTTCTCTTGCACACAGGAAGTGATTTCTTTAGGTTTTTCTCTCAGCAGCAAACTGAAGAGGATCTGTGTGGTTACCCTGGAGGAAGCAAGCGTCACAGTCTTCCATTGCAGTGCACACCAGTAAATGTAACCAGCTTGTCATCTGTCCTCTACACCATTCTGTCTTCCAGGTCTAGCTGGCCAATGCCGGGCCCGTCGTGGACAACTGGTGGCGGTAGTAGCAGCAGTGTGCATGTGAGTGTGGTCCCTGGCGCCTAGCCTATGTCCAGCCCATAATGCCGTCGTCCACACGGAAAGGGGTGCTGAAGGACCCCGAGCTGGCCGACCTCTTCTTCAAAGATGATCCCGAGGACGTCTTTTGTGACCTGCATGAAATTGGACATGGCAGCTTTGGGGCTGTGTACTTTGTAAGTCCCAGTTCACAGTTTATATATTTTGGTTTCCACATGCCATGAAAGTTCTTGACAATTTTGGAAAGAGTTCTGAACATGGATTGAAGGACTTCATCTAAACTGGAATTTATCTGCCTCTTAAATGGATTAAACCAAAATAAATGGCGTTCAAGCTGTTCTCATTCATTCATTCATTTTCTACCGTTTAGTCCCTGAAAGGGGGCACGGGTGGGGGGGGGGCGGAGCCAATCCCGGCCGGCAATCGGGCGAAGGCGGGGTACACCCTGGACAGGTCGCCAATCCATCGCAGCAAGCTGTTCTCATCACCATATTATCAGGACATTTCAGATGACAATCTAAGAATAAAATTTTTCCCAGGCTCTTGCTATGATATCAAACTTTTCCTTAACTAACTCAGTCATATTTAACACCATGTGAAGTCTGCTCAGATAGAGTTTATGCATGTTGAATAAAAATGATTGGCACTAGCACTTTAAAGTTTTGAAGCATACCAGCTTGGAGTGAAACAAAGATTTTGTGGTGATGCAGTTGGTGGTGGAGTTTAATGGATGTTTCTTTAGCTTGCTTTTCATATTTCAGAATGAAGGACAGCATACGAACAAGGGACTAGACTAAGAAATCATGCTACCATTAAGCAAGGACTTCTTTGTCATTCACTAAATGGTGATTATTAATATAGGATTATAGCTTTCAGCATTTGCTTGTTAACAAGTTAACATAAATATTCATTTATCAATTCACTGATTTGTACAAATGTAAGTCTAGACTGGGACATTATGGCTTTTGAGTGGAATTAGTGGAAACAGATTCTTTTCTCTAGGCTTTCTTATAATCTCATCAACAGTAATTACTCATCAAGCCTTTTGATTCCAGAGCTGGGAGGTGAAAGCATGCAGCATCTCTCTGCTCTCCCTTAATTCCTTCTCCTCTCTTTTCCTCCTCAGTTTATTTCCCTCCTCTCTTCTCCTTGCATCTCCCCTCCTGATGCAGGGCTGGGGGCAATAAAGCCCGTTCCTCCTTCCTAAGATGGCTGCTTTCTTGGTGTAGAAATACAGGGAAGCCGTCAATAGTGGGACAGGACTTTCTTGCCTACCGGGGTTTTGCTACCCTCTTCTATCCTATGTCATTTACACACATTCCCTCACAGCTGTAATACATCACTGTTAGCACTTGTGCCCATGTTTGTTTGGCTCCAGCGTATGTGTAAATCCTGTCCTGATGCCAGTCCCATATTTTTCTTTTAGGCACGCAATGCCTACTCCAATGAGGTGGTGGCCATCAAAAAGATGTCCTATAATGGCAAGCAGACTACAGAAGTAAGAATTACACACACATACTGTACACACGCACAGAAGCACAATGACAACCAACACACTAAACTTGGTATTCAAGTTTACACTTTGAATGTGCCACCACAATTTGGTGGTTGTCTCTCTGAACCATATTACAAAAACACAAAGTAGTGTTACTTTCACCGCTGTTTCACACAAATCTTGACACTAACTTGTGAGATTGAGAGGTTTTTCATTTATGGAGGTTACTTACCCTAAACGTGAAAGAATCAAGTGAAAATAATGAAAAATAATTACTCACCACAAGATGCTGTTTGTTTTAGAACATGCCCCATGTAGTCATGTGACCTTACACCACAGCTGATCTTGAGCCCATAACTGCAGTTTACTATACTTTTTCTTTTTATAAACCTGTGAGTGATGGTTTTGTGCAACAGCTGTTACATGACATTGTCAGGCTGCTCCTAACCAACCTATGCTTTTGGTTATTGTGCCAGCTCGTCTGGTAAGCAGAGAACTAACCTTCCAGTTTTTGTTTTATATTTTACTGTTTGTTATTTATCTTGGGTGCAATGCTGTTTTCAGAACATTCAGTTCAATTCAATTTTATTTGTAAAGCACCAAATCTCAACAACACTTTACAATGTATCCTGTCTGTCTATGTACAAAGGTAAAATATGTATAGAAGCCATAATACCTTTTGTAAGTGGTTACTATAGTGAGGCTAGCTGCACTATTGCAGTGCAAGTTACAATAATACCCGCCTAAGTGTTAATTATAATTGTACCTGTAGTGTGTAACCATCTGTGTCTGAATTTTCTTTGGGCAGAAGTGGCAGGACATCATTAAGGAGGTTAAGTTTTTGGGACAGCTGCGACACCCAAACACGATTGACTACAAAGGCTGCTACTTGAAAGACAACACTGCCTGGGTTAGTGAATCCTTCACATCTCCTTTTGTCTTATTTTTAAGTTTCTTGCAACACTCCCAGTTTAACATTTTCTTCCCATCCTTTTTTAAAATTTTTTCCCCGTTTCCTAACAACTGTGTTTTCCCACGGCCTATTATTATTTTTGCCTACTATACAGTTATAATCAGTACCACTTCTGAAATTTTGTATGTATAATATGTCACGGCAGAAAGCACAGTAGTTATTCAGGTGCAACTGTACATTATTTCAGCTGGTGATGGAGTACTGCCTGGGCTCTGCATCAGATTTACTAGAGGGTAAGTGTTTTTATTAATGTTTAATGTGCACACACATTTAGACATTTACATTAATAAAACTGTTTTTATTGCCTATATCAGGGTGTTTAGCTTAACTTTTGTCCAGGAAGCCATTGCACCCTGCCAATAAATAAACCACTTGAAACCAAAATGTGTTTTTGCAGTTTAATTAATGCACAGATTATTTTTCTCCCCAAGTTCATAAGAAACCACTCCAAGAGGTGGAAATTGCTGCCATTACCCACGGTGCCTTGCTAGGATTGGCTTACTTACATTCCCATAATATGATTCACAGGTGAGTCAGTTCGTTTCCTTCCTCCAAACATTTCCCAACAGGAACATACTTAAGTGAAAACATGATAAGATGAGATGAGAGCCAGTCATGTTCTCCCTTTATTGCGGCGTTTACTTATTAAGCTGTAAAACTCATGTCAGTACTTTGGTTTTCAACACTCCTGTCTCACTGGTGACCATTGAATTATTTTCTATGTGAGACAAATCTGACTTGAATCTGGCAATCATGTTATATGAATATGATATTATGGTACATCACATATAAATTACTGGTCTATGAATCCTTGAAACAGATGTGATTTGTCCTCGCTTCAATACCTGTATCTGCTATTCATGTGTTCACTGTTTCACCCCTGTCTCCCCATCCAGAGATGTGAAAGCTGGTAACATCCTGCTGACTGAACTGGGTCAAGTCAAACTGGCTGACTTTGGCTCTGCTTCCATTGCTTCACCTGCCAACTCCTTTGTGGGAACACCTTATTGGTCAGTATATACAACACAAGACACAGACATATGGTAGGGCACAGAAGAAAATGCAGAACTACATATCCAACCAAGTGGAAACTTTGGTGTCTGCTTTCTTTTGGATAGGAATATGCACAAGTTGTGTGCCACCAGTTGTGCATAAACAAAGATTCAGTGTGAAGGCATCTTGTAGTTAGTTTTTGAATTTTGACACCTGAAGCCAATCTCATCAATTATACATTATATGTATTACGCCCCTCCTTCCAGACATGCACCACATCTGAATAAGTGCCTGTTGCTTATATGTAAAAACGACATCAATTTTAGGTGAAACTAAATAATACTAATAACTGATGAGATTCATGAAAATTAATTAGGGTATTGCTGTGAGCAGTGGGGTGAGTGTGCCTTGTGATCAAGATGGTCATCCTTAATGCAGCGTGAGAGAACTGACAACACTTGAACAGCCTGATGAAGCCAGCTCTGTTACATATTGCATGTTTTAAAAAGGCCTTACATTTATGGCTCAGGACAGCAAAGCTGTTTTATTTGTTAAGCTGCTATAATGTCATCTGTAGTTTGCCTCTCATATGGAAATCATCAACTCTACGTTACCCACTGAAATATTTAGTCACACACTGTTGGCAGCTTTGGTGAATGAAATCATCACATAAACAGCTGGACTAGTGAAGGACTCTCATGAGGGGACAGCAACACACAACTTTGTTTCACTTGTCATGATAAATTCACACACACAAGCTGTTTCACTTCACATTTAGAGAAACCCACATACAGTATATTCCAAAAATTGAGCCGCTATCACAACATACCAGAGTCTTTAAAAGCTCTGAGAAGCTTAGCAGATTCTAATGTTCTCATGGATTTATCACTATACTTGATAAACTCTGTGTATCTCTCTGTCGTCAGGATGGCCCCAGAAGTGATCCTAGCCATGGATGAGGGTCAGTATGAGGGGAAAGTGGACATCTGGTCCCTGGGGATCACCTGTATTGAACTGGGTGAGCATACTCAACTCAAATCAAATCAAATCAAATTTTATTTGTATAGCGCCCTAATCACAACAAAAGTCATCTCAGGACACTTTACAAAGTAAGGTCTAGACCTTACTGTTATCAATATTATTATATAGGGAAAACCCAACAAATCCCCCTTGAGCAACCACTTGGCGACAGTGGGGAGGAAAAACTCCCTTTAAAGGAAGAAACCTCCGACAGACCCCGGCTCTTGGTGGGCGGCCTTCTGCCTCGACCGGTTGGGGTGAGTGGATAGAGGAGAGACAAAAGAAGAAAAGCAACAAGACACAACAATC